CCATATGTACCCCAAAACCTAAAATGCAATAAAATAAATTAAAAAAAAAAAAGAGATGGGGTCTTGCTGTGTTGTCCAGGTTGGAGTGCAGTGGCTGTTCACAGCCATGATCATCGTACACGGCAGCCTTGAACTCTTTGCCTCAAGTGATCCTCCGTCTCAGCCTCCTGAGTGGCTGGGACTATACAGGTGAGCACCACCACGCCTGGCTTCATCTCTTTATGATGGTCCAACGTCCCTTATCTATGAAGCGTTGCTAACTCCCAAGTTTGTAGAGAGCTCTTTTCTCTGGGGCCCCAAACCACCTTATTTGTGTGTCCCTGTGAGTTTTTCCCACTGACTTGTAACTGTCTCTAATGTCAAGCTACCTAAGGCTAGGAGGGCATCTTATTCATCTTTGTGTTTTCAGCCCTTGGGAAAAAGTAGGCACTCAAAAAATACTCCTAGAATGAGCAACGAGTAAATCAAAGCCACAGTGCCAAGTGGAGGGGTGGAGGGATGGAGGGGTAGAGGAGGGGGTACAAAACTGACTTCCCAGGGCTTTTCGGAAGGTTGTTCACCCTAAAGCTGATCCTGGTCCAGTCTACTTTGACCATCACCTACCTCCCTGACCTTCTTAGAACAGCACTGGCCTCTGAGGGCACATACACACATGTTGATTGTGTGTGAGTAGGGGGTCTCGTGGTGCTGTTTCCCTGGGAAGAACCTGTGTGGACGCAGGTGGGCTTTCTACTCTGGGACCTCCCTGACTTTAGGAGGTACCTGGCTCTCCTAGGAGTTTCAGAAGACACTGTCCTGCCTGGCAGTCTGGAGGGACACAGCCGTGCCAAATAGCAGAGCCTGCCCCACCTCCCACCCCACCCCCAGCCCTTGTACCTCACTCTTAGCAGGGGACTCAGGTGTGCTTGGCTTCCGGACAGCCACAGGTGGAGGCAGGGGGCTGCTGGCCAGGGTTGCAATCACCTGGCCCTGGGCGTTCAACAACAGTTGGGGGGTCACGGCTTGGACCTGGAGGCTTTGGGCTGGTGCTGGAGCCGCCACACTAGCTGAGTTCACTACCCATGGAAGGGTTCCAATAACCTGGGAGGAAATAAGGCAGGGACCCCAGGAGTGAGGATAGTGTCCAGCTCCACCCCAAACCCAAATCCCCACACCACCAGGGAAAGAGACTAATAGACAAATCACTCAACCCACTCTGGCCTGTTTCTGCATTAGTAAAATGCAGGATTCACACTCTGGAGGCTACTTCCTTTATTCCAGCCTCAGAGCTATGGTGGAGCAGGAATATGTCTGGATATGGATTCAGAGAGACCTGCCTTGTTCTGCCACATTTTAGCTGTGTGGCTTAATTGCTCTGACCTCAGCCTTTTGTCCTGTAAGATGAGAATAAAAATCTCCATCTAGCCAGGTGAGGGGGCTCATGCCTGTAATCCCAGCACTTTGGGAGGCTGAGACAGGTGGATCACGAGGTCAGGGGTTCAAGACCAACCTGGCCAAGATGATGAAACCCTGTCTCTACTAAAAACACAAAAATTAGCCAGGCCTGGTGGTGGCTACTAGGGAAGCTGAGGCAGGGAACTGCTTGAACCCAGGAGGTGGAGGTTGCAGTGAGCTGAGATCGCGCCACTGCACTCCTACCTGGGCAACAGAGCTCTCTACAAAACAGAGTGAGACTCTGTCTAAAAAAAAAATAATCTGCATCTAATAGATTTGTACTCCAAATAAAGTGAGATGATGTATGAGAAAGCACCTAGCACAAAGCCTGACCACAAGATGGGTGCTCCAAAAATGAAAACCCCCACCTAAAGTGAGCACCTCCAGGACAGGGAGGTGGCTACACCGCTGCCCGGCTTTAGCACTGGCAGAAAGCCGCCACACCGGAGACAAGAACAACAGCTTGACGTCTGTTCAAGTTTCTATAACCCACAGCCCACATCCTGGCTGCCTTCCCCTGGCCAGCCTCTCCACAGTCCCCACCCTCCAGCCCTGTCTTTGGCCACTTGCCTGTCCCTGAGCATTGGTGAGGATCTGACTGCTGATCCCTGGCATGCTGGGAATGGCGCTGGTAATGACCGGAGCTGTAGTGAGGGAGCCCAGGATCTGGGTCTGTCCCCCGAGGGAAGCAGCACTGATCTGTGGGTGGAGGAAGAGCCTTGCTCAGAAGCCAAGGGGTGAGAAGAGCCCTGGGCAGAGGGAAGAGGGCACTGGGGTAGGTGAATGTGAATGTGCGCTTCAGGCTCATGTCTACCGGCTGGATGGTTTCCAGGGCTAGGGGCTGCCGGGGTCAGCAGGGAAGGGCGGGGCCGCAGTCATGGAAAAATAACTCTGGTTAATCTCTCAGGCCAGGCCTGGGAGGGTAGAAGGGCCACACTGGAGAGGCTGATGTGATCCTAGTCACATCTAACAGCTCCCACTGCCAGGCCAGGAGCCATACTGGACAGACACCGGCATAGAGCTGTAAGCTCTGGCTGCACTTTAGTGACAGCCCACAAGTTTTCAATCCCCAGACGTCATCCCACCCTCCAAGACTGGTCCAGTGGTTGAGGTTCTGAAGAATGTGCCCAGCCCTCTTGGCAGAGGTTGTCTGCTTTTATCTGGGATGGACGGGCTGGTAGCTGTGAGAAGGCCTCAGAGGGAGCCCATCTCTGCTGATGTGTTGGAAAAGGGCTGTTTTCGGGGGGGGCTCGTCCTTCACTGTGGGAAGGGTCAGTTCCACCCTTGGCCCATGAGTCCGTCCATCCCTGGTCAGCCCTGGGTGAGGGCAGCAGCTTACGATTCCTGGGCTAAATGCGAAGCCTGCAGGCTGGACGGTGATCTGTGGGGGGGTGTCCACTGGCTTGGGGGTAGGGGCAGCAGCGGTGGCAGCAGTGGGCTGTGGGAGGATGGCAGGTGTGGTCTGCAGCAGCGGCTGGGTCTGGAACAGCGTCTGGGGCTGGGCTGGTGGCCGGGGTTGGGCCGTCGAGGAGGCCTGTACTGGCGGGGCAGCTTGTACGGGTGCCGGAAGAGCGGTGTTCAGCACAGCAGCTGCTATGGAGCAAGGCAGAGACAGAGGTGCTCAAACACCTAGCCACTGCCCACAGCGGCTCCAATCCCAAGGGATCTGGCACAAGAAGGAGAGGGGGTAGGGGCAGTGGGCACAGTGGGGCAGGCAGCCATGATTCCCTTGATCCTTGAAGGGCTGGCGCGTGCCAGCATCTCTCATCCCCCCTCCCTGGGGCCAGGAGATGTGTAGGTTCAAGAACCAGACGTTGACTCTTCTCGCATTTCTTCCCAGGAGGCTGGTCATGGGGTGAGTTCTGGCGCAGGGGAAGAGGGGCAGTCTCAGACAGCTGGCTGAAGTAAAACAGGCCTGCAGGGCCAGCGTGGTGTCACAGCCTACAGTCCCGAGGTGGTGCAGCAGCTCTGCGGCCAGGTGCCCAAGACACCGGATCCGGACTCCAGGGCGGTTGCCCCGGGTGGGCCGTGGGTTCTGAGTCCAACATGGCAAGCTCACGTGCAGGGGTGCAGGGTGGTGGGGGGCCTGGTGCAGTCCTGGGAAGAGTTGCCGTTACCTTGGAGACCGGCTAAAGGTGGCTTGAAAATTCCCCCCGTAGGAGAAGCAGCGGTCAGTCCTGGGAGGGCAGCCACGGTTGCTGCAGGAATTGTCCACACGGCCAGCCCCTGCTGACCAGCCACTTGACCTGCAATACTGATGGGGATAAGAAGAGGTTGAGTAACTGCCCCTGCTGGAACCATAACTCCTGTCAGAACTGTGGCTAAGTTTTCCTGAGTCAAGACCTGCAAAAGCAAACAAGATTTCAAAAAGAAAAGAAAAAATAAAAAATCAACATTGACAGCGCAAACACTGGGTCTCTGAGACCCAGCTGAGCACAAACAAAGCATTCTGAGGGCAATGGGGCAAAGGCCACATGAGGATGGGGAAGAGCCAAACCCTAGCTGGAGGCCCAAATGTTTGAGGGGGTGCCTGGACCGACTGTCCTGCCTCCAGAGAAGTCGCCCAAATCCAGGGCAAGGCAGCCCTGCTCATAGGAAGGGAAGGGGGCACATGTCTCCCACACCAGAGTCTGCTGCCTGCCAGGCCTTCCTCGGGCCCTTGCTGACAGGCCAGGGAGCAGAGGCTGATGGAACCAAGTGGTCAAGGGCCCACAGAGGCCTCCAAGAAGTTTCTGATGCACCATGCCCTTGGCTGGATGCCTTGGAGTCAGGGCATGTAGGGAAAGGCACAGAGAATGCTGCCTGCCTTCAAGATCCTGAAGGCAGCCTCTCACGGTGCTGGGGCCACTCCCTGGCTCTAAATGAGGACTCTGAACAATCCATTAACTCTTTCCAGGCACCCACTGGAGGGCCAGCAAGGGTATTCATTCAGTCATTCAATAAACAAAAACTCTGGCTGCATGAAAGAGTTAATGTTATTTCTACAATCCTGGCTGGACCCAAGGAGATGATCCTGCAAATGCAGATCCCCTTTTCCAAATGGGCCTGATCTAGGCAGGGGTGAGGCTGGAGGTGCCTAGTAGGAGAGTCCCTCCCTCAAGCCACAGCCCCTTCCCCATCCTGCCCAGTGAAGTTCCCAGATCCCATGGCTTCCCCATGCTGGCTGTCCCATGCCCCACTCCTGCCCTCGACCCTCTGTCCAGCTCCCAGGGGCAGCCCTTACCTGGGGGGCAGCTTGTACAGCCAGTGGTGTCAGGGTCTGCGATGCCTGAGGCTGGCTTGGGGCTTGGCTGAAGGTGGCAATGGCAGGGGCAGGGCTCGGAGGGATCCCCGGGGGTGACTTCACTTCACAAGGCATTGAGAGAAAGAAGGACAAAGATTGAACCTGACATGAGTGGAAGGGTCACCGCAGCAGTACATGACATCCCATCTGCAGCCTGAAGCAGTGACCCTCAGTCCCATGCTGCATTGCTACAGAGACCCAGATCGATCGTTGGCCTTCCCTGGCCCATGAGACAGCTTTCTGAATGCTACAGTAGTGAGGCTAGGAGGCTGGGGAGCCCTGTGCCAGCTCTGGAAGGTTAACCACCCCTTCCCACATCTAGCTGAAGGAGATATGTGGGTGAGTGTTAGCCCTCATTTCCTGGCCCTGTAAGAACTGTCACATTGTCTACAGAGGGGCCTGAAGCACACACACGTCAGGGAGGGCTGGAGCTAGAATTGATGGGAGCAGCTATCTTTGGTTCATCCAGCTACTGAATCACTGTTTGCCTCAACTCCAGGCTACTTTTTGATGCAGCTGCTGGCTTGGGGAAGGGGCAGGAGTCCCTGACGGGCAAAGTCCTGCAAGCAACAGTCCCTGAAAATTGGACAGGTCTGTGCTGCACTACAAGATCACAGGGGCTCTCCAGGACAGCCAGCTTTTCTCTGCTATTCCGAGATCTAAAGTCAAGTGAGCAGCTTCGATGAGCTTCTAAAGGAACTTCCTGTGATCTGCCGCGTTTTGCCTGTTCTTGGTACCTTGGCCTATGCAGGTACTGGGGTACCCCACCAGGAAACTTCTTCACAGCCACACAACAAGGAGAAGGGTTATTATTTAATATACGGTGAGTTAAAAGGATCCTAGGAGTTGAGTGATGGATATTGGACCAGATACTGGCTTCTTTTAAAAAAAATTTTTTTTTTTGAGACAGAGTTTCTCTCTTATTACCCAGGCTGGAGTGCAATGGCGCGATCTCGGCTCACTGCAAACTCCGCCTCCAGGGATCAAGGGATTCTCCCGCTTCAGCCTCCCAAGTAGTTGAGATTACAGGTGCATACCACCATGACCGGCTAATTTTTTTCTTGTATTTTTAGTAGAGACGAGGTTTCACCGTGTTGGCCAGGCTAGTCTCAAACTCCTGACCTTAAGTGATCTCCCCGCCCCAGCCTCCCAAAGTGCTGGGTTTACAGGCATGAGCCACCATGCCTGGCCAGATTAGTGGCTTCTTAATACTGCTGGGCATATATTTCTAGGCTTTAATCTGGGCCTACTGAATCAGAATGTCCAGGAGTGGAGGCTAGTTAGCTCGCCTCTCTTTTTCCCTTTAAAGCTTCCCCTGCGATATGGCCAAGAGTGGGAACCACTAAAGCACATAACTGCAAGGGTCTGTCCAACCCTGCAGTCCTGGCCCATGTTTTAATTTGGGAAGGTGTCAACCTAACGCAGGACTATACTGTTCACAGCATATAACAATAAAACCCAGGTAGTTTAAGGAATTAAAGAGACAAGCATACACCAACAAAGGCCTTATAAAATAGTAAAAGAAAACAAAATAACAAGTTTATCTCCTCTGTGGGGGGGAAGATACATTTCTGGCTACTGAAAAAAAAAAATCAGGCTGGGTGCAGTAGCTCATGCCTGTAATCCCAGCACTTTGGGCAGCTGAGGAGTTGCCAGACCAGCCTGAGCAACAAAACAAGATGCTATCTCTACGAAAAAAATAAAAATGAATTAAAAAAATAAAACAGAAAAAAATCAGCAAACACAGAGAGCCTGAACATATGAAAAATTTTTAAAACATTTTGTTGGACAAAATGCAAGAAAACACAAGCAAGTAAGTGAGAAAATGGGAAAGTGACAAACATAAATGATGAAAGATTACCCTGTAAAGAAGCAAAATATTTGTTTTATTAGGGCATATTTAGCAGGACCACAGAGTCCAAGGTTTTACATACATTAGGGCTTCTACTGCTTCCTGCTAGACTGTACGGAAAGACTAAATGAACTCACAGAACCATCACCAATGTACCTGCTTCTCCACAGCACCACTCAATAGTTTTGTTTGGTTTTGTTTTTTTGAGACAGGGTCTCACTCTGTCATCCAGGCTGGAGTGCAGTGATGCGATCTCAGCTTCCCAGGCTCAAGTGATCCTCCCACCTCAGCCTCCCGAGTAGCTGTAACTATAGGCATGTGCCACCACTCCTGGCTAATTTTTTATTTTTTTGTAGAGAGGGGGTTTTGCCATGTTCCCCAGGCTGGTCTGGAACTCTTGAGCTCAAGCAGTCTGCCTGCCTCAGCTTCCCGAAGTGCTGGGACTATAGGCATGAGCCACCATGCCCACCCACCAATATAGGTTTTATCACCACTTATTTATTTCCTGGCTTAACAGGAATGTCACACTTTAAAGTCAATTACTTTTCTTCTCATTGATAGCAAGATTTTTTATTTTTCCATGAAATGATTTCCTCCTATGTTAATAATTAATTTCCCTTCAAAGGGAATTTTATTTATTTTATTTTTATTATTTTTTGAGATGGAATCTTGCTCTGTTGCCCAGGCTGTAGTGCAATGGTGCAATCTCAGCTCACTGCAACCTCTGCCTCCTGCCGGGTTAAAGTGATTCTCCTGCTTCAGCCTCCAGAGCAGCTGGGACTACAGGAGTGCACCACCACGCCGGGCTAATTTGTATACTTTTAGCAGAGATGGGGTTTTACCATGTTGGCCAGGCTGGTTTCAAACTCCTGACCTCAGGAGATCTGCCTGTCTAGGCCTCCCAAAGTGCTGGGATTACAGGTGTGAGCCACTGTGCCTAGCCTCAAAGGAAATTTTAGTAGACTATATCACACACAAAATTTTTTTTTTTTTTTGAGACGGAGTTTCACTCTTGTTACCCAGGCTGGAGTGCAATGGCGCGATCTCGGCTCACCGCAACCTCCGCCTCCTGGGTTCAGGCAATTCTCCTGCCTCAGCCTCCTGAGTAGCTGGGATTACAGGCACGTGCCACCATGCCCAGCTAATTTTTTGTAGTTTTAGTAGAGACGGGCTAGTAGAGACGGGGTTTCACCATGTTGACCAGGATGGTCTCGATCTCTTGACCTCGTGATCCACCCGCCTCGGCCTCCCAAAGTGCTGGGATTACAGGCTTGAGCCACCGCACCCGGCCTAAAATTTTTTAAAGGACCAATACAAAAACATTCAAAGTAGCACTGTTTATGAAAATGAAAACCCAGACAATTTGACAAAGGCCAAAACCAGAAGCAGGTGTGTGACTCTATGTCAATAAAAGACACACATACATGAAATTATGTGGTGGTGTCATACTATTTAGTCTACCTTTAGTGGCCACACCAATAAAAATTTGTATGTGTGACAAAGACTGGATTGTAATTTAGAGTGAGTGACACAAACCAATAGATTCTGTTTTCATCCTGAAAAAGTTTCCTGTTACTTAGTTTTGTTTTTATTTTTTATTTTATTTATTTATTTTTGAGATGGAGTTTGCTCTGTCACCCAGGCTGGAGAGCAATGGTGTGGTCTAGGCTCACTGCAACCTCCACCTCCCAGGTTCAAGCCACTCTCCCGCCTCAGCCTCCCAAGTAGGTGTGACTACAGATGGGTGCCACCACACCCGGCTAATTTTTGTATTTTTAGTTGAGACGGGGTTTCACTATGTTGGCCAGGCTGGTCTCAAACTCCTGACCTCATGATCCACCTGCCTTGGCCTCCCAAAGTGCTGGGATTACAGGCGTGAGCCATTGCACCTGGCGGGAAACCCTTCTTAACACTGCACACCTAGAAAGTTTCCATCACTCTAAGCTGGCAGCTTAGGTGGTGCCATCAAAATACCTCCCTTAGCTTCTTGATGATGACTAAAATTCCTTTATAGAGGAGGAGCCTTTTGTGAAAGGCTTAGACACACAAACCCCTGGAAGAAGACGCACACTACACAAACACTCATGAAAATCATTGAATTAGGGTCCATTTCGGAGAGCGGATTTGGATAAGGAGCAGAATTAAGGCACCAGAGAAAATGAGCTATGAAGATGGATAAGTGGGTGAAAGGGAAGTGAGGGCACAGTGAATACACTTGAGAAACCTCCCCTGTTTTCTGAAAAGGGGTTCCACTCCACAGTGACTATGCTGAATGGAAGGACTGGCAAACGCAGGGTGCTTGTCTTCCCTGCCTGTTCTCCAGGGCACTGCCCCTTGGGAACAGGTGATGACCCATCCTGGCCTCAACATGGAAGCAGAGCATTTCCAGGCTAGGGAAAAATGGTCGTGTCTCTTGTCATTCCTTTATCCAAAAAGAAAAGAAAATGACTAAGGTTACTAGGGTTCCAAGGAATTCACATACCGATGTGAAGGTAGAGCAAGTAATGTGTGCTCATGCGGTTTTCTTGTTAAGGAGCTGTTGCTCTCTGAAGTTTGCACATTCTCATTTGCTTTCTTCTTGCCTTTTCTTCTTGACCCACCCCCACCAGTCCAGATCTCCAGTCAACGGGAGGGGGAATGTACAGCAGAAGTCAAGGGGAAATGAATTGGGGTGTTCTGGGGAAACTAAAAAAGAAGGCCCAAGGCTTCCTGCAAAAGGAGATGACTACTCTGCAAGTGTTATAAGGAAGACTGATGAGAGGGTGCCCCAAGGCCAGGGAGCAGTGCCTGATCCCCCATAGCTCAGCCTCTTCAACAGCCCAGGCTGTTCCACTGCAATACTGCAAGAGAATCACCCTCACGCCTTAAGGTCATCTTTGGAGAGGGATATCACCTATAAATCGATGGGGTTCTACAAGATCCTACCTAATCTGTATTTAATCTGAGGCAGGTAAGATGCCCTCCCATCCTCCTCAGCTCCTGGGACTTCCCAGCTCTGCTACAAAAAAGACTGAGTTGGAAAGGCTGGCAGGATGCTGAAGGTCCAGTCCTCTCTGGGCCTGAGAATGTGGTTTAGATCTAGGACCCCCTGAGGTTGATTCAATCCCCTGCGCTGAGTGCTGCCAGTCTCCTCCCACCTCACCCTGATCCATGCCAGTTTAGGCCAGGAAGTGACTCAAACTAGATCTAAAGCTCCAGAAACAAAGAGTGTAGAGGAGCCCTGACAGCTGACCAGAGGCACAGGCTGTGGCCAGAGGCTGTCCTGTGGGCAGGCAGACAAGACCCTAAAACCACCTGGGCCCCAGGGACCACGGGACTCAGGACTCAGGTGGAGCAGTACCAGGTGGGGGCGATGGCCTCGTACCAGTTGCCTCTGCAGAGGAGCCCAGGTTGTCTGGCCCAGCTTCACCAGCAGCTTGACTGGCTTCAGCAGGGTCTCCACTCTGGGAGCCCTCGGCAGCCACGCCCTCCAGAACTTTGCTCTCTTCCTCAGCAGGGAGCTGGGCATCCACTCCGACTTCCAGCACTCGGATGGTCTCATGACCTGACATCACGATGACCTGCAAGCAGAGGATGGAGACACTGCTGGGGGATGGGCTGGTAGAGCCACAGGATCCAAAGCTCTGGGTATGGCTGGGGGAAAGGTGGGGGGACTTCGGGATGTAGACCTTCTGTCCAGAGGGCTGTGTGCTCTGTGAGAATTCCAGAGCCTGGAGCAGGCTGCAGCTCCCTGATTCTAGGGAAGGAGCTGCTGGAGGAAAGCAGGCCCTGGTGACAGGGAGAAGGGCCTGACACAAGCTAGAAAATGTCCCCCAGAGCCAGACCATTTGGGAGCTAATTTCTCTTTGTTCCATCTCTTGGACTCAGTGCAGGGAGTGGTGGATGGCTTATCCTACAACTTGGAAGGATGTCCTCTTGGCAGCTAGGATATTGGCACGTGGCTCTGAGGGCTCCTAACATGGTACCCACAGCTTAAGATGGGCCAGGAAGCAAATCCCTCTTCACTTCCCTTGAAACTATCTGAAAGTTCCTCAAAGATAAAGGGATGGAACATGAATGCTTTACAATGCTGAGTAACTTTTTTTTTTAATTTTTTTTTTTTTGAGACGGAGTTTCACTCTTGTTACCCAGGCTGGAGTGCAATGGCACGATCTCAGCTCACTGCAACCTCCGCCTCCTGGGTTCAGGCAATTCTCCTGCCTCAGCCTCCTGAGTAGCTGGGATTACAGGCACGCACCACCATGCCCAGCTAATTTTTTGTATTTTTAGTAGAGATAGGGTTTTACCATGTTGACCAGGATGGTCTCGATCTCTTGACCTCGTGATCCACCCACCTCGGCCTCCCAAAGTGCTGGGATTACAGGCTTGAGCCACCGTGCCCGGCCCAATGCTGAGTAACTTTTATGGCCCATGATTCCTTTATTTCCAGAACTCTGGAGTAAAGGCTCAATTTCCCTGCAAGCTAAATTCCTGAAACAAAGGTCAAGAATCCGTAAGAGGCAGGCTGTCCTTCTCTGCCTGGCGCCGCTCCTGGACTGCAGCTTTTTATCCTGTGGGCCTGTGGCTCCTGTCCTGCCACCTGCTGTGGGCATGCTCAGACCTCAAGGGCAATCTCCATGCATGAGCAATGCAGGCGGACCTTGAGCCTCCTCAGAACACTCGGTCTCCCTCCCATGCCCAGACGCCCCACACTGGCTCTTCAGCAGCAGCACAGTAGCCCTGCCAACTGGGCCATTCAAGAATCAGAGACAAAGTCTGTGAATTAAACAGCTTTGTGTCAGGCCTCTCTGCAACTGGCCTGTGCCTGAAATCACTCTCACAACACGCTCTTTAAGCCTGAAAGTGGATCCAGCCAAACTGGGCTGGAAAAACTGACAATGTGACCCATCAGGAGAATATGAGATGAGTGAATACATCCCAAAAGCAGCTCTTGTGCTGCCTCCAGCTTCCCTATGAGGGACTTCACTCCAATTTCAGAGAAGTTCATTCTTTTTTATTTTTGGAGACAGAGTCTTGCTCTGTCACCCAGGCTGGAGTGCAGTGGAACGATCTCAGCTCACTGTAACCTGCACCTCCTGGGTTCAAGTGACTCTCCTGCCTCAGCCTCCTAAGTAGCTGGGATTACAGGTGCCCACCACCACCCCTGGCTTTTTGTGTTTTTAGTAGAGATGGGGTTTCACCATGTTGCCCCGGCTGGTCTTGAACTCCTGACCTCAGGTGACCCACCACCTTGGCCTCCCAAAGTGCTGGGATTATAGGCATGAGCCACCATGCCAGGCCTTTTTTTCTCCTTTTAAAAAAATGACACAGTCATTTGCAAAAAACAAAAAAGAAAATGTGTGTAAGCAAGACGAAAAACTAAAGAGTAAATTACCTGATGCCAAAACTTTCCCCATGTAAACTTAAGCATGTGATGTACATTTTGATTTCACATCTCAAAGTCACAGCTTAACTCCCCAAACTCAAGCCCTGAGAAATCCTAAGTGGCAAGTACCCCTGGAGAGGTGAAGTGGCCGTGAACTCTGGTAAGAAACAGATAATGAGGGGCCCTGTGGAGTCTTCCTCCTTTGCCCACACCCCTCGCTCCATCACCCTTACCCCCCACTTTTCCACCCCAGAAGATACCTGCTCATTGACAGTCAGAGATGACTCTGACCCAGCTCCAGGATCCATGGTCACTTGTCAGGGTTGGGTGGGGGCCGGCCCACACCTAGCACATCCTGGGTAAGATGGGATTGGAAAGGCAAAGGCTGATGTAACACAGTAATACAATTTCTATACCATCTAGAAAAGTCAGAATAGAATCATAGAAAGACAGAGAAGCTAGGTTCTCCCAAGTATCTGTAGAAGTAAAAAAAACCCCAAAAAACAGGATTCATTTTTTTTTTTTTTTTTTTTTTTGTGACAGCGTTTCGCCCTTGTTGCCCAGGCTGGAGTGCA